AGGCTGATTAGGCTCCAAATGCAATGCAATTGACTTCATATAATAACTATTACACAATCCTATTGTTGTTTATTTTAACAATGGAAGGCGAAAGATTAGGACTAATGGAGTAAATGGACACATAGCTAGCCTACGTACCAATACGGTACCATGATTACCATGCGGTATGAAAGAATGAAGCTGGCTCGTCAACGACACAACAGCTGATCGACAACAGCTGAAGACGAATTTTCAATGTTACGGAAAATATTTGTAAACGGAATGACTTTGGGATTTATGTTTGCAGCGTATGAGATTTCTAGTCGAACTATATCAAATAAATCAAGTTTCTAATTTTGATGGCAGCTGATGAAACTGAGTAATTATATGCTTCAATATTTGTTGTTAAATTGATTATATAATATCATATATGAGGGATAAAACAGAAGTAACATTCCATAGAAGGTTATTGGGTGTATACATATAATGAGTACATGATCATCACCATGAATGAACGGATGTAGCGATCAAGGAAAAATTATTTAACTAAAGATTAGAAATTGTGACAATTTAAAGCCGGAGACAAACTCATAATTCGTTGTGCCAGGAGCCTAGGACTAGGAGGCAAAAACGAACGCATGGGAAGTCGGGAATGAGTGTCGTTTAGAAATCGTTCAGTAAAGCAGCGTCATTTTACACGTAAAAACCCATGTCTTTTGCAGTTGTTGGTATTATTGGTATCTGTAACCAATCTAGAGGTATATAAAATATCACCAAATTAGAAAAAAGTCAGCTTTTAAACTAAATTCAGTCTCAAGCAACGCGTTGGAACAGAAAAATCCGCGCACTAAGCCGTTAGAACTTAGACTAGAGACTACAAGGCCAAGTTGTTACGAGACTGTAACGAGATTAATTGATCTGCTATCAATAATGGCTACGATATTTTAAATACAATTATGTAGCAAACATATTTTCAGTCAAAGTAGTCATATGAAAAATATAATGTTCAGGTTCTAAAGATTAAAAGAGTTAATATTGATTGTCTCATTACTAACGGGGGGTTCAATAACTTCAATTATGGAATTCTGTGCTCTTGGATATATTTTTAGAGCTTGCGTCAGCGAAACCTTGTCTAAAAAATTGCATTTTTCTACGTGCGGTACGCACCGAAATAAACAAGACGTAATTAATTATTTTTCTAGTATATTATAGATGCTCAGCAGATATTAGGCATTTATTTCAAATATTACTGCAAATATCTTTGAGGAATTAGGAACTTATTACTGTCAATAAATGCAAAATGGTACTCATTGCACCCTTAAATAAAACATGTGAATACTTCTGTTGTGACTGAGGTGCACGGATATTGTGATCAACGTTTTTGGCCAATTGAAAGCCGTCTAGGGTATGGGGCGGAGTGACCAGAAATCATTCATTGTCCAACTCACTAGTATCATGTGGCTGCCACGAAAAGAACTTTGTATCAAAAGATATGGGATTGGGACACATTCGTCCACATCGCGGCACACCTGAATGAACACAAGTGTATTCCCCTGCACGTCTAGGTAGTCGTCTACGTTCGTGTCTACCCACGCATGCTGCCGTTATCCAAACTCATGTACTTTACCTGCGCAATGCACTGAATTCCAAAATTAGTTTAAAAGGTATTGGGTTACAGCAAGTCAGCAAAATTACGAAAATGCAACTTGAACTTTCTAACTTGAAAAGTGTTTCCCACCTCAAAGAGGAGCCTTGTGTAATATCATGGCTAAGCACGGATACGAGTTTTTAGGAAACCTATCTCAAACACAACAATGAACTTAGACAATATATTTCGACGTCAAATCTGTACCTAAAATGCCTAAAGCCATCAAATTTTATTATTAAAGTTAGGGAACAACTGTATTAAGTGATTAAATACATTTCATGACAGTGAGTTGCCCGCTTGCCTGCCAGCGGGCAGGAGACGGCTTCTCACTGAACATCGGCTCAGAACATCCAGGACGGTGACTGGAGATCGTTGCAGTTGGCTGTCGCCCGGTGTTTTAGAATGTTTCTTGTGAATGTGAATCAGTGTTGCGGTGCAAAAGAAGTCAAATTAATTGAAACTCAAATCAAAATTCAGTTTTCTTTCTTGAAGTTTTTGCAATAAACTTTTCGGATTATAAAAAGTGATACACCAGGGGATGTAAATTTGGTTTAAGTTGCGTTTGCAATGCACATGGAAAATCTGTGAAATTATAGTATTTATAGGATAAATTTAATTGGGCTTACTTTGCTGTACTATTACCCAATTATACTATTTTATTAAATCGTTAACTTTGATAATTTTGTTGTTAAAAATTAAGCAAACTATGCGTTTTTTCTTCATTGACTGAGGTGAGGTTTCGCTCTGTCCTACCATTTTTCAAGGTCACTCGAAAATAATGCGTTGTTCAGCTGCATTGATGATTGAACCAAGCTAATTTTTACACGATTTGTTTGAGAAGAAGAAAGACTTTTTAAATTATATGGCAATAGAAATAGTCTCGTAGTCAGTTTTAGCAGCTAGACCACCTTACTTCAGTCGAGGTAGTCGTCGACTAGTCGATACCTATCAGAAATAAGGCTACTAATTTGACCATACATAATACTAGATGCTATTCGAGAAGGACGATCGGTGTTGAGTTTTAGGCCAGAGAAATATTTGCATCCTGGATTCAGAAAAATCAGTTCTGTATTTACTATAGTCTATAGTCCAATTTTGCTCTTCAATGTGTTTTCCGAAGCCGGTTACTCACAGTTTATGCTTGGTGCGGTAGGAGCTGTAAACCCCTGATGCATCCGTCTTGACCTTGACGCTAACGCGCTTCCTAGCTGCCGTTGCGAAGGTTAGGTGCCTGGCGAGGACATCTCGGAACCGCGTTTAAACAAACGTTGTGTTTTTAAACTTATTTTAGTCGAATATAACTTTTGCGCAGTCATCACGTATCGGCAGTGCCCGTCATGATGCACTAACACTTCATATTAGCAGCTAATATGTAGCAACGAGCTAACCACTGTATATAATTTAACTCGACAAGTAAAGCACTCACTAATTTTACTATTCGAATTTAATGGGTTTGGGGGGGGCGCCGGGACCACGTGTGTGGCGTTTAAGCTGCAGTCCAAATTGTTGCTGTTAATCTAATGTTAGGCTGTTAATTTTCTAACCTTTTTTACTGGGTGCTAAAAGCCTAGCTAGAAATCGTTCATGACCCTAAAGAATTTGGAATAAGTACCGCCTAATCAAGTGCTACTCGTACAGTACCACTACTTGAACCATTGCGTCACTGGGGCAAGATGCATGAAGCTATGCTGAAGGTTCAAGGCTTCTAATTTACTTATCAATCGCTAGCCGTATGTGATGACCTAATAGTCCATCATTATCCTCATGTGATGATCGAATAGTTGCGTCAACAAGGAAGCGCACCAGTGAAGCCAGGGTCGTGGCTTGATAGTTCTTGTACTGTTAATCATTGGTTGATCTCAGTGGTGGTTGGTGGAGAATGCAATTAAGCGTTCTCCACTGATTTTCTCTAAGAAATCTGGACATTCAGGGGTAGGACATAATATGAGAAACACCTGACATTTTGATATCGTAATTTTTAAACATGTTATAAACAATGAAAACGTGACATATTTTCATGTTTTATTGTTGCTTTTAATTGATATTTTATCCTGGCACAAATATTTTTAGAGAATTTTGGCGAGTATAACCTAACCTATAAATGGCACATTTCTTTGGCTTTCAAAGAAGCCAAATTGTTGGTGCTCATATGTCAGGTACTAGTGTGACAGAAACTTTCCGAATGCTTGACGTTTCTAGAGGTACTGTCTGAAAGTACCGACTACTGACTGCTTTTCAAAGAGAAGAAAAAACGCCTTCAGCACAGCACAGGTCTGGCCGAAAGTTGAAGTTGTCTGAGAGAGACCATCGTTATCTAAATGAAGAATAATCGAAGAACCACGGCTGTTAATATTATTACTACTGACCTCAATGGACACCTACAGAACCCAATTTCCATAAAAACTGTCCGCCTAGAACGCACTGATCTGGACTCTATGGAAGAGCTGCAATTAGAAAATCTCTGGTTTCAAATACAAATGCTTTGAAGCGTTTAGAAAGGTGTAAAAACCTCCAGAATTGGTACTCGAGCAGTGGAAAAATGTGATTTTCTCTGACGAATCATCGTTTACCTTATTTCCAACCTCTGGCCGAGTTTACGTTCGGAGTCAAAATAGGTAGTCATTTAATCCCGACAGCCTCCTCCCAACTGTAGAACTTGGCGGTGGGAGCTGTGATGATCTGGGATGCTATTTCTTAAAAATACGGCAGACCAATGATTTCTGTTCATGGAATAATCATGAGCCTTAATTGACTGTTAAGGAATTTTGGAGTACCAAGTTCTTAGATGTTTCGAGCATGTTTCCGGAGTGCAAGGGAAAGCAATCTATCAAGATGATAATGTCCCGATCCATAAAAATGGAATTGTTGAAAAATGTCACAATGAACATTCTAATGAGGTTGAGCATATCATTTGGCTACCAAAATCACCTGACCTAAATATTATCAAGCATTTTTGGTCGATCATAGAGATGCATGTCAGCAGAAGTCGATTCCCCACGCCATCGTCTTAAAAAGAGCTAGCTGGAGGGAGTTCACTGAAGAATGGGTTAAAATTCATTTGGAAGCAATTCGCTATTTCTATGAATCAATAGCTAGGAGAATTGAGGCTGTAATTGCCGCAAAAGGTGGACTTACACCGTACTAAAATACATTTGGTGGATTTCTTAGGTGTTTCCCTTATTTTGTCTAACCCCTGTACTTTTTGATTTAATAACCTGAAAATGCGTAGGAAAGAATTCCTCTGCAAATTAGTTGGTAGAAGTTAGTAGTGTACAATTAATTGTATGAAAATTGATACTAATTCTGGAATTATAATTTTGGCATTATCTTGGTCCCTTTCTCTCCTTGCCAGACGAGCAATGTACAGGGGGGAGAAAGCCCCTGTCGTCTCAACCCCGAGGCTGAAATGGCTGCTTGGTTGTGTTACTATTCTTTTAACTACTTTTATTCTCTATGTATTTTTGTACAACGAACCCAGGGCTACCGTTTTAGCTTATCCACAACCGCAAGTTAATATAATTCCGAACCAACTTGATAAACATTCAGTACACAAAGATGAATGTGATAGATCAAAGCCATTGGTTGTTTGGAAACCAAAGGGACGTCTTGGTAACATTATATGCGAGTACGTTCATCTACTCAAGTTGGCGGATTTCTTCTCGGTGGATGTGAGTAGATTCACATTCATCAAATATTTCTGACTTTAATGCGTTGATTTGCGCCATTAGTTCTCAGGCGAGTGAAAATCTGTTTTATAAATCATGAAATCAGAAGAATAAGATGGACCTCTAGAATCTAGATAAATGTTTTTGAACTAATGTTTTCCTCCTGATCTTGTGAATATATCTGCATTCACTCGCATGCATTGATGATAAAGAGATGAACAAATTGATGAACAAATTTAGCCGGACAAGTTTTCAATAGAAATGTCTAGTCACGCCATTTCACAGATAAGGACGTCGGTGAGCATGCACGAAGCCCTCGCCCCCATCTTCCCCCACCTGTCAGTGAAGACGCCTTCGAGCCCCTGCGAGTCTGAGGTGTGGAACAACCAGAAATTATCATATAGATTATCAAGCCTTGATCTTGAAGTGATAGTAGTTCACATATCGATCACTGACGTAACCTTTAAATTTGATTTTGTATTCCTAAATAAGGATCACAGAGCCAATTTATCAGAGAACAATGAAACGATAAGAGTTGAGCCAATGGTTACTCGAGTTCATGCACGTCGATAAGATCACTAAGATCGCTTCATTTCCATAACTTTTTTGCAACTTCACCTATTTAATGGGTTCAATATTAATAATTTCTCTTCATTACACTCCTTATTCCAGACAATATTCAATATACTACTCCTTATTGCTTTGCCTGCAGTGCGTCGTCTCTATTGTAAAAAAACTGGTAAATTTTTTCACATCGTTTCATTTGCAGCGCGTGAAGCATGTCACCCGGATTATGGAATAATATCGTATTTTTAGCGCATTTTCTCATTTATGGAAAAATGCACTATTGTGCTCGCCATGTCCGTCCGTCTGTCCGTCCGTCTGTCCGTGACCTCAAGTTTTCGTCGACGAGAAAATGCGCTCTCTGTCACTCACTGCAGTGAGTACCGAGTTATATTTTTTTTACCTGTACTTTCGTTCGCAGCGCCTGGATCACGTCACCTGGATTGTGAAATAATCTCGTATTTTTTTACTTGGATTTTCGTTCGCAGCGCCTGAAGCACGTCGCTTGGATTACCTACCCTAAAGCCCGGGAACGCTTGCTCAACCAAACCAACAGGGCCGAGCTGCTAGTCATTTGGGACACTCCGTGCGACGTGATGCAGATCTGGCAGTCCAGACTTCAATGGCTCAGTGAATTCATTGTTAATTCTGAACTGAAGGTTAATTTTTTTTTTTTTTCATCAGTCATTGTACCTATACGGTAACTGGACAGTAATAGAAAATCGAATTTATTTCTTACTGGAAGTCATGCTGAATCAAAATGATAGGATTATTTCTAGCAACTATTGTTACATTTTTTTGCATTATTTCAGCCTTGATTTTGTTAAACAAAAATTCAGAGAACAGTTCATTATACATGTAATGCTTTATTATTATTATGAAATTGTTCTGATGTGGGAATATTAAATGTGGGAATACGAGTATCGATGGTTGTAGAGTAAGTCAAAACACTTCAAATTAAAATATACCATTGTATCAAAAATTAAAATTTTCATAAGCTAATTTATGTGCACTAGTTGTTCGAAACTTTCCCATAATAACGTCTGGCTTATCAAGAGCACAAGCGGACCATTGAACTGTTCAATTTGAAGATCAAATAGCAATTATATCAGTGAATGGTTTGCAGGAAGCTGCAGCTCTTCGGCTTCAGAACATGACGCGCAATGTGGAATCTTTGAAGAATTTCACTGTGGATGACGTGAGTTTGTTTCCAAAGCTTTCACTGCAGATTCCCGACAAAAGAGGTTGATAACGACCGCTAAAACAGAATAAAAGACCATTTTGAAAGTCGAATATTTTCCGTTGAAAATTCTTGTTCACTGAATTTATTTGGCCGAAATCATCAGCCAATAACTAACCAGCCTGCAAGCTGGTTAGTTATCATTTAGAATAATTGTATCGTGAAGGTCGGTTGGCTATGAAAATCAAATCATTTCATGAAGGATGCTAATTTTATTAATCTAGAGCCAAATGATTCAGCAGGTTTGACACACGATTCCATTTCAGTTGCCGTGCGATTTTCCTCTGAAAATTATTCCGAAACGAAAAATTAACTTATTTAGGAAACTACCAAGTAAAAACAAAATTGTTTTATAATTTCACTGATATGTAAACAAATATAATTTAAAAAATGAGGTAGGTCATTGAAGATAAGAATAATTTATTACGTTGAACAGAAGCAGTGTAAGAGGGTGAAAAAATGAGAAGCTTCGATAATAGGAAAAAAAAAATCAGTCATTGAAATGATATCTTGCTGGCTAGCAGAAGAACTGTTTGAGAATATGTTTTGTTGTTAGTTACTGAAAAACGCACGATGCACTTATTAAAGACTATAGACATTGCATTGATAGACACCAAATTCCACCAAGTTTTTACTCACAATCCAAGGACACCACGTTGGTCGGCATCCACGTGCGCAGGAGCGATTACTGGACGGTGCTGGATAAGTACAATTTCGGGGGAGTCTTACCACGCCAATACTACGAGGCTGCCTTCAAATACTACAGAAAACGGTGAGTTGTTCATAATAGAGAAAACGGGTATTTGGCAATAACACAGATAACGTTCGTTGGACCATCGAGCCTCTCTCTTCTCTAGACTCTAGTGGGGACGTGCTATCAAAAATAGTTGAGTGGTCGTTACTCCGTCAGCCAATCACTGACGACGTTTCAAGCTCAACCCACCAAAGCTTTCGCAAGCTAGTTTCAATGGAGTTTGCTTATCTGATAGACGTGAAATCGGCTGCTAAGTGAGTTTTTATTATACGGTTTCTGAACTCCATTTTTTCGGCTTTGGGTTAACCAGTAACCGGTTCGATCATCGATGTAAGTCTTGTAAGACCGTTTCGATATACCAACCTTACAATGACTTTTCAAGCTAAGCTTTTAATGAACTTTTTTGTTTCTAATGTGCCAGAGTTTCATATTTTAATCCTAATTGTATTTGTAGGTTAAAAATGAAATATTTAATATTTTTAATGAAATATATCTGGCGTCTATCTTCATAGATTTGAGAAGCCTCTATTCATCGTTATCACGGAGCCAGGCGAGTACGATTGGTGCAGAGAGAATCTGTCCAAGAATTCGCGAGACGTGATTTTAGCCGATGACAGACGCTCACCGGAAGAGGATTTAATCCTCCTATCCTCTTTTGCCCACATCATTTATTCCCATGGATCTTTCGGAGTGTGGGGAATATTGCTGTCGGAGGCAGAAACGGTTGCATATCCGGATCACAAAAACGATGGGGATAAAGTACGGTATCCGCCTCACCAAGCTTTTGATGAAATAGGCAAAATGCAAAATAGAACCGAATATATAACTATAATGTACAAATCCGGAGAAGAATGAAACCTGTGATGTTTTAAGTTGACATTTTTAAAACTATAAAATGCTTTTAGATTCCACTATCGCGAAAAAAAACAAGTGTGAAGAATGTGAAGAGGTCAACTATAATTAAACCGAACAAGTGTGCTAGTAGTTCCTATTCTCGATTAGCGGAACGAATGGGGGACTGTCCTGTGATATTGTTTTACGTATAGTATTTTAAATAAGATTTGGATTGGTACAAGGGTCTGATTGTATGGTAAGCACTAATAAAATCCTATTTAGCTGCAACCTGCAAGGCATCATGTTTGCTATTGATTTTCACTAGGATACGATATTTGGGATACATTATTATATATATTTTCACTAGGATCTGATAAGATTTTGTTATGTGAACGATTTAACGAAAAATTCACTCGTTATGAGAGGTCACTATGTCGAAAGAAGCAGTGTGAATGCATTTATCTCGTACAGCGAAAATTATTTATAAAGTTTTTTTTTATGTGGCAATGGATTTCGTTTGTCGTCCGAGGGCAAAATCGTGTCACTAACGGTAAATTTTATAGCTAAACTAACAATTATGAAGTTCAGAACGTTTTGCATGACTTGGAAGTATTATTTCTGATTCTGAAAAACATAAATGCCAGTTTTATTTCTTCTATAAGTGATAATGCATTCGTTAACAAAACAAACGTGCACGTGTGGGTCCTCAATTATTTATTTAAGCCCTTACTGACTCGCAATAGGAGATAGAAGCTATAATCTTTTTGTGCCCAAACTGAGATGCATAATGTTTTTGTTTTGATACTTAAGGGCATTTTTTCCTTTTCAATTTTGGTTGTAAATATTTCGAAGGTTTTTAATGTTGTAATTACTGTATGATCGGAAAGTTTGTTATGCAGGTGTGTCGCTATTTACAGTAGTTTAGTATCAGCTTAGATGAGGCCGAAGCTCGACACTTGGCCGATTTGGACATTATATTGTCACAACTAGTTACGGGTTCCGAACAACCAAGTCCTTTCTCCAATACTTATGGTCAACCACAAGTGGTACCCTAGACTTTGCCACCGTTCTTGTGCGTAATAATTTATAACTATAGTATAATAGTACATTGAAATTTAACTTATGCCTAGTACGGTAACCATTAGCATAATAGCAAATTTGTGCATAATCTGTTTAGGTTTATCTTGTGTTAATTGATTTCAAATGTTCAGGGCGCAGTGGAGCAGGGGAAAAATATTGTAAAATATAAAATCGATTTGTACTTATTGACCCATGAAACGGAATTAGCGATGCAGCCGCTTATTCTATGTCTATGATGTTTTATGCTGTATCGACATAAAATAAGTCGATTATAAGTTTGTTGGTTATCATACAAGAAAATTCTAATCAAAATTCTATTTTGTTTTTGCTAACCATTGCATAGTGTGACCATTCTGTCCATCTTAATGAAATATTTCTTTGCATACTTGATGGAAATGGCAGTTCGAAACGAATATTTTTTTTTTGCTGAAGCTGATGACGCAATCTTCCCGTAAAATTTCAGGACGCCCCCGGTCCGTTGTCATGGTAACTTGGCGGTAAAACTGAGAGGAAAAATTGGTATTATGTTTCAATGATACTTGATTCGCTGCATAAAATAATGCCAGTGCGAATATTTTTCCGGTACAAAACAGTAAATACGTTTATCGATAAAGTATTCTCAGTGCACTCAGTTTCGTTTGAGTGCAGCAGACGACAGAATTGTTGGTGAGGCCAACGCATTCGATAGATTTATTACATCATTGCTGTAAATTGAAACGCATATGATGTGATAAAATGAGCATAGTAAGTTTCTTAAGTTGCATGTTTCGTTGTAGATGATGCAGGAAAGATCACTTGTTTATTGGTAGCGCTTTTGGCTCGTTACTCCCTTGGACTCGGTCATCGTATTTATCATGGGAGCCGCAGTCGCGACTTCTCTCGTGAACGCTTCGCGCCCGGCGCCGCCACACGGCCACAGTCGAGCTTTAGGCGCCGTGAGAAGTAGTAGTGTGCCACGAGGAGAATGTGAATCTCTGCCTGTCAACACTTGGAATAGAATATTTGATTGTTTTATCGTTAACATAATAGGTGAGTTGAGATATATTTATTACTAGATTGCTCCTTTTATTGATTTGTTATGAATTAATCTCAACAGAATCATTATTTCAGTAAAACCTTGCCTAGATTCACCCGTGACGGTGCCGAGACGGTGATGCAGATGCACGTGTTTTGTCAAGGCAAGCGATGAGTTAGTTCAGAGTTCGGCAAACCGGTAACTCTTTCCCAGTTAAAAACTAATAAAGGTCTGACAATCTGTTAGTCAGAAATTTATCTGACGGATATTTATGTGTGGTTTTCTTCTCAAACATTTTTACGGTCATTAACGGTTTTACAAAAAATAAATAAATTTATTTTCTAACTTGGAACTTCAATTTTTTCATAACGTTGAATTACAATGTTATGATTTCACAAAGTGAGTGTACTGTAAACTACTGCAAATAGCATTACATCCTGCCTATGTGTTTAGAACTTTTATAACTCGCACGGCTATTATTTGTTTTACTAAATTTAATTACTCAAGCTGAGAGTTACAACATGAGTTACTAGCCTACCTACTTCATTCGAAGCACGATGTGGACGCTTGAATAAAACAGCTCGTTTTCGTCAGGTTATAAATACCGTACTTCCTACTTAATATTCATAGGAATGCACTAAACAAGTTATTTAATTATGACATTCATTTTAAATTGTAGAAATAAGAAGGTACGTAATCTATTTCCTTCTGCCTTTAAAGTTTCCATTCACTCCCCTTGTATGTTTTCCTTACGCAAGCTCATTTGTTTTTGCTCGGCTAGTGACACGTTTTCAACTGCACATTACTCATGCTTTGAACTCAACGACGAACTCAAGTTTATCCTTATCTCGCTAGTGGCTCAAAATTCGCGCTTCCGCCGAGTCACTTTTTGGATATGATTTTTCTCTTTAGTATCAAAGTAAAAGTGACTGTTTTGCAAGAAGTAATTCTTCGATGCGGTTATTGTATGAGTGGTAATTATTACATGAAAGTTTGAATTGAACTCCATACCTTTACATCGATCAAAAGGTATATGGCATGTTACTGTGTAGCTTTTTATGCTAGAGTTAGGTTATTTCAGTTAAAAACTTTAAAATTCAGTTTTAATTTACAAATAAAACGGCAGAATTTCCCTATGGAAGAAATTATTATCACAAAATTTTCCGACATTACTCTTGAAAAATTTACAAGCTGATATCACTGATATCAATATCGCCTTTGGAAGTTTTTGATTTTTTTATTTGCTAACGTACCTAGTCAGATATATATTTCCAACAGTTGTTTTTAATAGAAAATGTATCTAAATTTATTTCATTCAATTTTGTTTCGGCGAATTCCTCAATGCAAGTACGAAAAAGTTAGTTGGCCATGAGAGAAGGCTCTGAACGTTCCACCTGCGTGCCATCATTGTTTATTTTGCATGTATAATGAATGTTGCGTCTTTAGTGTTCATTCCGGAGACGTATTCCTATATACAACTGCGATGTTCAAGTTAGCACAGGTGGTCTGACGAGGCTTAGCCAACCAGAGAGCATTTTTTCGTGGACATCTCTTTAGTTTTGCATAATGTGCCCTGAGATCATTTCATCAAAGCATATTATAAAGGCGCTCGTCCTACTTATTATACTGGTTATAATATTCAAGTCTTTGAAGGATCAACAAAGAAGCGTGACAATTACGTTATTATTTGTGGATTACGCTCTGTTTTTACCAAACGTGCTGCGAGTCGAATAAGCTGCTGATTCAAATTTATAATTACTACTTCGTATATTGGTATATATACATTTCTGATAGTTGCCGTCACGGTAGCGACGTTCAGTAGTCCAGCATTACTGAAACTCAAGTCAGGATTCAGTGATTAGTTACTTTCTTCTTGCATGGTAGTATTATTTGATTCTTCTTCTTCAACACACGTGAGTATACGAAACTGCTGCGTAAATGTGTGAGGGTGGAACAAAGTTGAACTGCTAAGTTTGCTACGCCCTGCTTACTCTACTGCGCGTCATCGATGCAAATTGAACAGATATTTTCTCGTTTCCTCGAGTTTTTTCATAACATCTTTAGTGCAATCATACGTTGCGTCGTAAAACTTAGTACTTTATTAAACATAGGAGGTATAGGAAATATTTTTCAAATTTTCATATAATGCTTCGAAAAGTATAGGTAACGCTGTGGTGATGCGTGATCGTGAGTTCGTCGCGCGTGTTATGACTTTTGAAGCAAATCAGTTCAAATGTGCATTAGACTATTTTCTGTCCTTTTAATGCAGCGGTAAAAAAAATGAAAGTACGATGTACTCAACAAGTTCACAATTACTCGTGTGTAAACATTGCAATAGCGACTGCTGGGGCGCTTCAGCAGTCCCATAAACACTCGCTCTTTACCGTTAATTTAACTCGAATCTTGATACTTCTCCGACTTTTTCGCCAGTGGTGATGTTCCTCTCATAAATAACTCAGATTCGTGCGATGCTCTCCTAGTGGTCAAGAAGTTGAAGACAACATAGGGAATTTTAGTGGTAGAAACGCGCAACTTTAATGGACGGAAGAAGAGATAAGTTATCGCAACCGCTGTGTGGAGAAGACTTGAATAAATATTTGTAAACTGGGACTGAAGAATAGTAAAACCATGAGTCTGACGAGCAGAAATTTCTAGAATGCCGGCGGTGAGTTTAAAACACAAAATTGTTCTTCAGTGTATGACGCCGACGAAACGAAGTAATTATGGTAAAAAATGTCAGAAGCGAACAAAAAAAAACATCATTTCTGTTTAAATTTGTCTAGTAAACAAGGAGAACAAAATAATAGGTCTTGAAGCTAAGTGATGAGAAGCATTATTGTGATAAGATGCGCGTTCTAGTTAATTGAACACGATAGCAGCCGGGACACAGTCACCTTTGAAAGACACAGTCACCTTTGAGTTGAAAAAGCCGGCCAACAATTATGTACCAAGTAGAGTAGGTGGTCTGTGGTTTGGGCGGCCGGCATGACGGTGCCCATTGACAACGGAATGAACCGTTGGACCCATTCAACTGACCTATTTTAATTCCAGTTCCATTGTCTGTTACCATCTCACGCTGATCTGAAATGCTTGTTACGAAACTGGTCTTTGAAAGCTTTTATTCCTGTTAGTACTTAGATTAAGATTTAGCTGCAGGTTTCAAAGTGTGCAATATCTCTAATCTCCGAATATAATTCTGACACAGGTACATTTTTTCGAAAATAGTTCAGTAATTTATAATTTTTTGAAGCTATCAAAGTGCTCGTTGCATTGATATGTTTCTCTGAAGGTGGAAGAAATTCTATAAATCTACTTAAAATCGAATTATGTGAACAAAAAATAATTTTTCATGCTCGTAATTATCTATAGCCTTCTATGACGTACCCAACAGATAACTGCCCCTAATTTTCTTCCATTGGAGCCTGAGAACCCAAGAGGACGTTCTTCTCAGTTCACCCGGTATGCGGTGACTTCTTTAGAGGTGCCAACTTTTTGCTCGGCGTTAAAAGAGTGCTGTTGCTAAGTACTTTATATCAGCTTATTAACACTCTCATTCGCAGCGCATTTGTTTGCATTGCATCGCTCCTAAATAAATACATCGCCCCTAAAGTTAAAATATAAAGATTCGTTGGAACGCCCAAGTTTTTTTCGGCAAAAGAACGCAAATATTTTTCGTGTTGTCCTCGATTCAATTTTAGACGGATTTAACGTCGCACGTTTTGGAATTTTATCTGCTTTGGAATTTCGTCGTATGTTTTGGGATTTTACCTGCTTACTCCAACCCTGGTTTACCATGGACTTTACATGAACTTGGTTATGTTTTGATTTGCACAGTCCGCTGTTTTATTTATTAAACCTGCTTCGTCAACCCGAGCCCCGTGGATGACAAAGTCGATAGCAGTTGATAACCTTGAAGTAGTTTTGGCGCCAGGAAACTTTTTCATAGCTAAAATTGATTGAATTGTTCGAAGAATGTTGTTATAGTGTTACACACATCACAACATACTGACACACACGACAAGTTACAAGGTTCTTGTTACACACATGACAAGAGACTAGGACAAATTTTTAACTGGAACTGGTGCAGTAATGCATGCATGGAAGCTCGAAATATCATCTTGCAGTTGTGATAAGTCTATCATCTTTTGAGAGTGCTTAATTCATGCAATATATTGTTGCAAATTTTCATGTGGTCTCGTGTTGAAAAATTTGCTGCTGCCTGGTTGGGAATAATGTCTCCGGTTGACGGTTGAATATACTGTAAGTGACTGAGTATCAGAATTCTGTATATAATTAATTCCAATTCATTATAATTTGTTTACATGTCGCGTAAAACTTTTGTTCTCCCAGGTCAAATTTTTGTATTACAATAATTCCATACATCAGTATTTATTTTGGTTTTCTCATCGTAAATGGAACGCCAGACGAAACTTTCTTCAAATGTACACCGAAATTTGTCATACCGAAGTATTTTTTTAACTCGTTCGCCACATCACGCACAACGATTCGTTAGGCTGTCTGCGTCACGTTTCGGGTCTCCATGCAGCCATGCATGCAATTTCTTTTTCCTTTTCAGGGTGAAGCTTATTTTTAAACGATTCAGCAGTGTACAGGCTCAACCAAAGTCAGTTTACTTGTAGTGTGCTGGTTATCTTGTTCAAATTCAACTTGTTCTTTTATAAACATATTCATTGGGGTTTCGATCATTATCTACGCTGTATAGTGTAATTATAATGTAAGTCATTACAGCGATTACGTTAACTCTTCTAAATATTTAGTCGGTAAAGATATCAGAACCCAAGGACCTACCATGCTCTACGTGCCTTTATTATATTTATTATTGTGAAAGTGAGAAGAGAACCATGGCTGCTACCGATTTCCGTTTTCAGCTCCGATGAGAATGAAATTCGAAGAAGTTACACGAAAAAATCGCACTAATTTTGTATCTACATACCATTCGCTTTACATGAAATTGGTAATGTTTTCATTTGCGCAGTCAGCTGTTTTATTTATT